ATGAAAATCTACCGACTCGACGCCAGCGTCGAACTCGCAATCTCAGGCGTACAAGACACACAACCAACCACACCACCACACACAAACACAACAACACACACACACACACACACACACACACACACACACACACACACACACACACACACACACACACACACACACACACACACACACACACACACACACACACACACACACACACACCCCACACACACACACACACACACACACACACACACACACACACACACACACACACACACAAGATAAAGTAAAAACAAACAGCATTAAAAAAACACGTATTTTTTTAAGTAAAAGATATTTAAGTAAAATTTTTATGTTAACAATATCTCACAATATTTATGAACGAGAGAAAGTCAAAAAGTAATGGGACTTTTGCAATTTCTCTTTCCAAGGTTTAATAACAGCACAGGGGCGTAGCTACCACCGTATCAATGATATGGGGCCCCTAAGCTACAGGGGCCCCAACATGTCCACTAACAATGCTTCCATATCTAAAAAAGAGCCCCGAAAGAATTTTGATACAGGGCCCCCCTCAGAACTTAGCTACGCCAGTGTAACAGCATTAGTATCCAGTGCTGAATGTGTGAGGCGTAGTCACTATCTCTTCTATACAACGTGTCACTCGTCTTCACTTGTTGTCGTTGGAGTGTAAGAGATCGTTCAACGGGGTAACTCCATTGTCGATCTGCACCAAAGAGGAAAGAAGGGCAGTGATTCTCTTTTTGTTTGCGGAAGGTGTGATACCTGCGCTGGATACTAGCCATTCCTTCCATCACTATACCTGTCTATCACTACACCCTTAACGTCTTGCACATTCTCCTCAATGGTTCACGTTGATAGATTGCTCGATTCGTAGAACTTGCTTCATGATTAACACCTGTCACCATAATGCGCTTGGATGCGACGAATAATTTACACCGGTTTCATACCTTCCGTAAACAAAACGCGAATCACCGCCCTCATTTTCTTCTTGGTGCAGATCGACAATAGATCTGCCATGTTGAACGGCCTGCTGCACTCCAACGACTACGAAGGAATACGAGTGACACTTTGTATAGAAATGTTGCCAACTGCCCCTGAATCAGCACTGGTTCCTAACGCTGTTGCCAAAGTATGGAATCATAAATTGCAAAAGTCCCTTTATTTTTTTTATACTTAATTGGCAACAGTGGATAGCAAACCTGAAATGTTTTCTGTAATTTCGAACTCTTTTAGTATTTTTTATTCATGCACGAGCCAGATAAAAACATTTCAGGAACAAATATTTTTTTAATAGTTTATTTTGCATATATTTTGCTTTTGATTTTATCTTATTTCATATTTTTGTCTACAAATGGCATAGCGCTAATAGAATAGTTGTCGCGGTACCTCCTCCTCGTGTTGGTTGAGATAAAGTCACGCTTCTTAAGCAAATACTCGGGGTGGGAGGGGGATCCAAACACAGAAAGGATTGAGAAGTCATTAAATTGAACACGAAAAAATTACTAGCAGATATTTGTAATAATTTATTTTTATTAATTTAATTTTCAGACCTTATTACGCAATATGCAGAAAAGACAACGGTAAGAAATAATGTTAATATTGCACGAGATATATTTATGAGTCAACTACATATAGCTGACAACCAAGAAATATTATTTTCTCTGGAAAAATAAATATAACTTGAAAATTCAATGATATACATGTAGACATATTGGACTAAATATTTGATAGCCCAAGTTGATCCATATAATATTTAGATAGCACACCTCTCACTGTTATCCAACTTGGACGACAAACTTTCAAAAGTCTTTTTTAAAAAACAAGAATAAACTTTCTATCGTGGATGTTCCGCAAAGGCATTTATAAGGACGCACCTTCTCAAAATAACATTTTCAAAAGGACCTCTTTCCTCCAAAATGTCTTTCAGGAAAGGAATTACTTTTCGTCGATAAGTTTTTTTTTATCGTCTGTCCGTGGAGATTGACTTTCGATTGTCACCGAAAGCCTATAATCCAGTTCTAATGCACATAAATCTTAAATCAAATCAAAATAGAGCCTTTATCTAATGAAAAGAATTCTCATTTTCAGGAGGCTCTTATTTATCCACACATTGGTATAATAATAAATATATTTAATAAATAAAAAAAGGGTTATTTTCAGACAAATAGATAGCAAATTTAAATAATCAACTACCTTTGCATTAACTATTTTAATAATTACTCGAAAAATATTTATAAGGAAGTTATGGAAGGTATTTAGGGTAAACAAAATCTTTCCTTCTAGGAGTTTCATATATCTGAATTTTAACGTAATTGAAATTTTTATCCTTCCCACTGATAGGGTAAATTAATTACAGAAAATTTATTATATTTTGAAAGAAAAATTGTAATCGGTAATAAAGTAAGGTAAAAAAAATAGTATTCCTTTTTGTAATTAAAAAAATGGCATTAAAGATAGAAATTCCAAAGAATAATTCGTATTTCTCCGTAAACATTAATGAAAAGCTCACGTAAAACGAGGATTTCTCATTTCGTTACTTTTTGGAGAAAACACTGTTAATCAGATTTTTTATCTTAATTAAAATAATTACTCTGAGTTATGTTTTGACGTTTAAGCTCATGAACTCTATCCAGTTGAGGCAAATTCCTAAAGCATTTTCCTTCGATATTTAAATAATGAATTCTCTTTTTCTATTTAATATGTATCTGATTATAAACGGTAATAGCATTGTCTTAATGAAAAAATACATTAAAGAATTTTCTTCTCCTTAAAGTTATCTGAATTCAGTTAATATTATTTTTTTAAAAAAAACAATTTAATATACAATTATAAATATCTCTAAAAAGAGGGGTCAGTGTGTGTGTGGTTTAGTTAAAAGTACACCTGCTTTTAACGTGGACGGGTAGGGTTCGAATCGCATGATCAACTTTTTTTTCCCCAATTAATTTAATTATTTTTAAAATTAAATTTATTTAAGTTTCCTTGAATAAATTACTTTTAAATAATTTATTAAATATTAAACGTGTCTTTTCTGTATCCGGCGTATAACACAACGTTTAATACAAACAATAAGATTGAAACTTACATGTATAAAAAAGATAGATTTAAGTATATAAAGAAAAGACGAGAATAAACAAAATTAGATCTCGACATATATCCAGATACCGTTCATTTAAAATAAATAGCTTTCCCCACCTAAAAATTTAAAACCATGAAATATCTCATAAATTTTGTCTCTCCCTCCTACTTTTAGTGTGCTTTGAGGTTTGTTTTAGAAGTATACCATTGTTCAAAAGCCGGGAAAATTACTTAAAAAAAAATTTTAAAAGATAAGAGAATTGCACATGCACATTTCTGGTTTTTTCATAAGAAAAATGTTGCACTTTATACGGTGAAACTATCTAACAATTAAAAAATGTAATTTCAAACTATAGGTGTGGAGTTTTTATATACGCCGAAATATACAGTAAATATAAATCAGCACGGTTTATTGACATCACAACAGTAAAATTCGTGTAACGCGAAAACTCTTAAGATAAAATATCAGCTAACACGAAATGATACAATGATCCGAAAAATTACTATGCATTTTCAATTTTTCCATTAAAACTAAAATATTGAGAGGCCAAAGTTTCTTTTGGACCCAATTTTCAATCATAAATTTCATCCCCCTCCATACAATAACAATGTAATGAATGCAATAATAATGTACTTTGACGCTAAAACTACAAAACTGTTTTAATTATAAACCAGTCAAATTATCAAGATAAGTATTAAATTTTGTATATGTTACTTTCATATAATAGATATTTTAAGTAAATTATATATACTCTTAAGTAATAAGAAAAGTATTATGTTGCTTTTTTTTCTAATTTTTAAATTGGAACAGTCAAAAATAAAAGTGAAACGTGTATTTTTCTTATGTCAGATTGTATTTTGTTCTGCTTCCTTTAAGAAAATTTTTATAACTTTTTAAAATAATCTTTTACTCTTGATTTTTTTGATAGGCTCGCGCCGCCCCCTAAGAGGGCGCGCCCCATAGTTTGAGAAACACTGACTTAGCATGAAAAAGGTTTCCCATTTGAGAATGAACAAAATATTGAAAACACTAGCCACACAAGCGAGATATAAGAGGGGTGTGGAATGAAAAAGATGGTTTCACTTGTTTCGTAGAAATGAGGCTAACTTGGTTCTGAAATACCTTCGAAATAGTATGTGACACGAGACAAATTTGTTTATCAAAGATACTTTTACTCTGCATCCCTACAAATGCCACAGAAAAACATCACATCTCTTATCAGTTGGCTTTGAAATTTGGCGACAAGTATGGTGAAAAAAAAATGGACGATATCGAACAAATTGTTAACAGTTTGATGCTAAAAGAGACAATACAAAGAAAAAAAAATCAGATTATTTTAAAGATTTAATTAAATGTTTTGTTTCTAAAGAACTTGAAAATAATTTTGTATTAAACTTCAGTTCTTGGTATGTTTTTGTTTCATTGATTGTTATCAAATACACACACATATACATATCTATGTAAATGTACTCTATTAGTTTCGTGTGAAAAGATTTTCACGTTATTTATGTTTTTTCTGCATAAAAAAACTCAAAACATTCAGGCATAAATTCTCAGCAAGTTTTCTTACATATATCAAATATAATGTTATTGTTTAACAAGTAATATAAAAAAAAATAAGTCAATTCTTACTTAGATTCAAACAAAGAGAAATTTTATTTTAGTAACTTTTTATTAAATAATTGCAATTAATATAAATATGTATATACATATGGCAAAATCCCCTTTAAAAAATTTGGGGAAAAAGATTTTTTCCTTTCCCAAATTTTTCCCTTTTCCCTTTCTATATAGGGTGTTGGACTATTATTTTTGTTTGTTACTATTTATTCATTCATTAAATTTTATTATTACAATAAAATAGTATAGTAAAAACAAAACACATTCTCAGAAAATGTAACACTTTAATGGGGGCCATCCCAGGTGGGATTCGAACCCCGCCCTTTGGATTAGAAGTCCAACACACAATCCATTGCGTGACAGAGACACAAGGAGCAATTTTCCTTTTTATATAAAGTTTTGGATTATTATTTTTGTTTGTTACTATTTATTAATTAATTCAATCGAATTAATGAATTAATGTTTGAAAAAACTGCATTGTGTCAACCACTACAAGTTTAAAAAAATGTATTTGAACTTGAGGAGTGGATGAATTAAAAGTATTTTATTAATGATTGAAAATTTGAACAAGATATATATCTATCACATCACATATATATCTATCACATATATATCCACACACACACACACACACACACACACACACACACACACACACACACACACACACACACACACACACCCCACACACACACACACACACACACACACACACACACACACACACACACACACACACACACACACACACACACACACACACACACACACACACACACACACACACACACACACACACACAATAGTATTATTTTAGAAGCATTTTTTTAATAAAAGGAGAACATTTTGAAAAAAAGGTTATTCTAAGCTCATTGTATTAATTAAAATAATTTTTTTTGTTAAAATGTCCTTAAAACAATTTTATACATGTATTCTAATCTAAGTGACAGTAAATATCATGAAAATTATCCATTTATACCCTTTTTTAATCACGGTTCCGAACGTAGTCGGATTCCATAAAATTGTATCAAATCTTCCATTTATTGTGAAACTGCAACATCTTTCGACGCGAAGCAGAGAGGAGATCCTCGAGAGCTATTAGCTGAGGTCATCTGCCACTAAAACGGAAGTTATTCTCCGTGATTTCATAATCGCCATCAGAGAATGTAAGGAATGATGTCGATCTATTCTGACCGAGATGCAAGATTCCCGCAATATTTAGGCAACGTCCTAGAATACGCTTCCTAATCGAAATCGTATTATCGAAATGGTTCGCTGTAAGGAGTCTCCATTTACATAGCGGTAGTTTTATTTGATTAAAGATTGGTAGGAGGAGTGTCATCGACTAGGAAGAATTAAAAATGAGTATCGATTTCAGAGCTTTTTCCCTTTCTGTTTATGATATTCTTATAAAAATGTGTTTTTCCCGGCACTCAAAGAGAATTTTAAGGTCTTGAGGGAAAGGTATTATATGGAATATGTTTGTACTTCCAAATTTAAATGTCACATAGTATTTATAAACAAAGGCAACAGAAATGAATATTTATAAAACTTAAATATTTTAACGCTTCATATATTTAATCTAGATCAGGAGTAATCAATCGTTTTTCCTGCAGGGCGGCATACATATGTTAGCTATTTCACGCGGGCAGCAACATGAGGACTAATGGAGGGGTGGGGGAGATGCTTTAAGACCAAGATGGAATAGAAAATTTGAATGTAGAAATTGATCAAAATATTAAAACTCCTATTTTTAAATTTTCTTTTATTATTATTATATATATTTTTTTTTTTGTCACTGAATTTTTCTAAATTGGATGCATTTAAGAATCACTCTTTCACAATATCGGCATCTGTAAACGGTTTCATTTGATTACCAATGATATAAAAAATTTCATAGGGTGCCTTTGTTATCGCTGTGACATTATCACTGAAATTTTTTGCTATTATAAAGGTTATTCAAGAAAGCCTGTTTATCATGTTTTGAAAGAGATTTCGAGAAAAAGTGTCATTGAACGATTCCTGTTTACTGGGGGTTTTTTTAAGTACACTTTAGTGATAAATCAAACAATTACTGAACCATGCTTGTTTTTAACTACAAAATAGTCAATTTTTCAACCGTCTTGAAACAATCAATTTTATTCGAATATTTTTCGAGTGCAGGATATGAAAAATAGTTAAAATTAGTTCCACTCATAAAATGGTCGCTACACCATTGTGGTCTATTATCACTAATCAAGAAAAAAATACCAATTTGCACCCATTTGACATCGATAGCAAAAAGCCTAATCGATATTTTTGACTTTTTAGCAAAGAATTTTTCACCAAATTTTTATAAATAAATTAATTTCTACGTGCAATGGGCCATGACCGGGCCACTTTAAAAGGCCCGGTGAGCCACTGGTTGAATATCACTGATATAGATCATAGGTCCCCAACCTTTTATGAACTGGTGCCCCCTTTTCTAGTGAATAGTTTGATTCCGCCCCCTTCCACTCTAGAGAAATAAGAGCGTACATGATACATGGTGAAAACAAGAGTTAAATTTTTGAAAAGCTTTTTTAAATATTTTAAAAACTAAATTTAAAAACTAAAACCCTTTTACTCTAATAGAATATATTTTTTTAATTAAATTTTTTCTAAGCCCCCAATTTTTTTCACTTGCGAATCTGAAGTAGTTGTTGCCACAAATATATTTAAATGTGTAATTGTAATTGTGTTTTGGTATTTTAGTTTTAGAAGAACATTATTGAATTGAAACGCTATTGAATTTCTTATTTCTTTAAAAGAGTGGAATAAAGTTTTAGCTTACCTGTTATAAAGATGCTTTTGAAAGAAGGTTTTGATTATATGAAGTAATTAAAAATAAATTATTGCTTTCAAAATAATGAAAAATTGACAGTTTCATCCTTTAAAGAATAACACGTTAATTCCTGGTTAACGTGTTTAGTTATATTTTATGGATAATATACGTAATTAAATGCAGTGGACGAAACAGTTTTCGTACTGGTCACAAACAAAGACAACACGTACACTACAGAAATTAAAATTTACTATAGCATTCAAATTAATGTAGGTCTGAATGTAATGTAATCTTTAAGTTTTTCATCCACTTTCCGAACTACCGAAATAAGTGAATTTTCGTAGACGTGATAGAAATGATTTAAATACATACAATTAACATAAGGTAACCAGTATCAAAGTTTACTTTTGTTAATACATAATCAGTGTTTTTTTAGTCTCTTTTAGACTATATTTGGTTAATCTGCCGAAGCCCCTCCGTGCCATTTCAACGCCCCCTTATTTTCTTTGGGTCTTTTACTACCCCCCTGAAAGCCTCAAAAGTCCACAAGGGGGCGTTATCGCCCACGTTGAAAGCCAGATGAAAACTTAATGTGATGAAAACTTAAGTGTTTGTTTTATCTGATATCTTAAAAATACCGTTAAGATAGCAAAATAAGAATAAAAAAGTATAGTGAAATACGTTTAACTCGAAAACACTTGAGGCTAAATATCGGTTAATAAAAATAATACAACAATCCCGACAAACTAATATGTAGTTTCATGAATTTTTTCTTAAAACAAAACAAAAATCGCTTAACACGAAAACATTTTCTTCTGGTTATGAACAAAATACGGAAAATACCAGCCTGATTGGACTATCCTATTGTATTATGGGAAGAATTCATTGCAGTTAATGATGATAATTTGTATACAGCCCAAATTATGGCAAACAAAAACATTTTGGAGTTTGTTCAAAGCTCAAAAAAATCATTGATGCAGATTCCAACGATAAAATAAAATGAATAATGTAGCTCCTATTTCCAATGAGGAACGCCACGAAAAGTATGCGCAGTTATTTAGATAAAAATTTCAATGGCAAATTGAATAACAAAATGGATGACATCGAATAGTTTGCAGAGAATTTGATGTTAAGAAAGACAATGAAAAGAAAAATATCAGATTATTTTCTAAAAATAACAGTAAATGTTTTGCTTTTCAAAAAATTCAAAAACTTTGTATTAAATTTCTTTATGTTCTTGTGAATGCTTTTGTTTAATTGATTTTTTTAATATATACATATATATCTATCTATCTAGATAAAATAAACTCTAATAAGCTTAATTTTGTTGTGATATATATATATATATATTGCAATATCCTTTAACACGAGATTCTTTTAATACGAAAAAATATTTCAGTCCCTTCAGTTTCGTGTTAAGCGATTTTCACTATACTTCAAATATTTTGATGAATACGTTCGGGCAAAAATATCGCTGTAATAAATTTTTTAATTTTAATTTGATATAATTCCATTTTTGGTAATTTTTTGGAACTTCGTTATCAAATAATTGAAAATAACGCAGCAATTATACATTTAAGAATTCCTTTTAAATCATATTTATTTGAATACATCAAAAGCTTTGCATTAGAAACCCTTTATTAAAAAAACTTTTGCACGGGCATAACCCTGTAACAAATTATTGCACTTTTCCCCTAGTAGTCCTATTAATAAATATTTTCCGTAAAGGTTGTAGTTTTAAAAATTAATGATTTAAAGGAAAAATGAAAAAAAAAACCCAAAATTAAACTTTCAATATTTTTTTTAAGATTTCCTTTTTCGCTCATGAAAATAAATTTTTTTAATTTTAAATTTAAATATGGCTGTTAGTTCAACACATTTTATTTCTTTAAAAGCATAGTTGAGAAAATATTTGGATTTTATTTTTAAGTGTAAAAGTGCTTTTGGAATTCTATCTAATAAATCTAAAAAAAAAAGTCTGAAGAAATTTTACCGAGTTTACTGAAACAAAAAAAAAAAGGGGAAAATTTTCGTTTTATTTAATCTCTTCCCTTCTTTGATTCTTATTCAAATTTTTTGATTTTATCTGAGCGTTATATTTAAATTTCTTTTGGAAAGCTCTCTTTTAAGCTTTTAGCATCTTCAAAAAATTTTTTGTTAAGGGATAATATAACGTATTGGTAACTGGAACCTACAAGATAATGCATTATATTATCGACTCAACTGCGTTTCCATTTTATTGATCCTTGAGAATAATTCAAACTCATTTTAACAATATTCAGCCTTAAGATATATTTACACTCATCCCAGTTCTAGAGAAATGAAAGTAAATTATTATGTTATCTTGTATAGAATAATCCGATACTTTCGTTAGTGTGTTTATTTTTCTGTACTCCCCACTTTTACCAAAAAAATTTTTTTACCAAAAAGTGCCAAAGGGAAAATGGAATGATCTGGAAATTCTAAAAATTTTTGGATACTGAATTTTTTGGAATAAGTTGTTTTTGAAGGTCACTAATTTTTGTATGAAAATGTTGTTGGGTCATGCGACGGTTTATGATTAA